GGGCAGGGGAGGTAGGATGAAGTTCAGGGAGGGATGAAGACAGGAGAGGAGGGACCCAGCCCAGCCACCCAGGCATCGCTAGAGGTGGCAGAACAGCATCAACACAGGAGATCTGCCCTAAAAGGCCTGGTGCCAATGCTCCAGCAAGGTGCCCAGCCCCCTATGCCAACCTCCCTCCACCCCCGTCGGAGGATGGTCTCTCCATCAGGGCACTTTGGAGGTTAACCAAGGGCAGGGGGTTTGCACCAGCAGATCCTCGGGTGCCTCTACTCCCAAGTCCTCCAAGGGAGGCGGGAACTGGCAAAGGATACCGCTGATTGCCTCGGGTGTTTGCCTCCCACTCCTGGTCCCCTTGGGCTGTGGGTAAGGGTGATGCAAGGAAGAGCTGACTTGAGGATGAAAAGAACACTGGCCAAAGGGAAAAGGGGAGTGTAAAGGCGACTGCATAGTGGAGGCAGAGCTACACAAACGAGATGGGAGCAGGCTTGACCTTTACCTCTCATTTGCATACCCTCTGCGAATGCAAATGGGATCCCTACTATAATAAATATATTTCTAACTTTGTAATAAATATTCTGTCTCTTCTCCCTCCCCTTCCCTACGAAATGGGCACACAGTGGTTCAGGGGCCAGCTTGGGCTGAACCTGCAGCGAAGACGGATTAGACACTCAGCAGAACAGGGAAGTCACGGGGGGGAGGGGGGGCGGTGGGGGCGATGGGGTGGTCCCGGCAAGGACAGGCTGACCCCAGGCAGGATCACAAAGAAGGATGAGGGACAGATGCCTGGGGAAGTCTAGGACGGCATTATTTTCTTAAAAGGGATTCTCCTATTTTACACAATTGCCTTCCCCAAGGACTCCGGGGTGTCTTTTAGGATAAGGGAACAGCAGGAGAGGTGGAGGAAAACATCTGGGGAGGGCCAAGGCTCTGCAATCTGGGTAAGAGTCTCATAAGAAATGGGGGCTGATGGGGAACCCCCAAAAAGTGACCTCCAAAGCAAAACCACCCTTTGCTTCTTTTCTCCAAAAAACCAACACTGATACACACACACCAATGGCACACACACAGACCGGGTGCCACAGCATGAGGAACAGAAGCTGTGCTGAAACCGTGTGGATAGCGCCCCTTGGAGTTGCTCGACAAGAAGCTGGCTAGAGCACAAATGTCCTCCACCCGAGCCCAGGCCCCATGGCCTGCTCACAAGGTCCCCTCTGTGCCCCATCCCCAGCGCCACCCCCCAGCAGATCTGATGCAAGTGGGCCACCTGGACCCCCCCAGAGAGACCACAATGGACAATGGTCACGAACAGGGAGCCCAGATATGCCCCACCGTGGGTCACGATCAGTAGGAGCAGGCTCCCTGTCACTTGGCTCAGCCTTCAGCCCACCCCTACCCCTGTTGAGCCCACCCACCCCTGCTGGCCTTGCCCTGCGGGGGAGCAGAGCTGACCTGTCAGGGGCACGTTGGAGAAGTCTGTGGAGAGACTTCGGCAGTGAAAAGCTGTGGATGAGGGAAGGACAGGGCGGGGTCCGCTTGTGGGACTCCGCCCCTTTCCACGGGAGCTGGGACGGCCCTGCTCCCCCCGCCGTGGGAGCTGGTTCAAGCTCGGGTTCCTCCAGCCTTCAGGACGGCACCAGGCTGCCACCACCGCCCAGGACTGCCTGGCTGCTGGGACCTGCACTCCCCGGTCTGGAAACAGCCCAAGGCCCACTCCTAGGCCACAGGTGTGAGAGGTGGGAGGAGCCCAGGAATTGGGTGGGTGTGGCTAGCCCAAGGAGAAAAGGTAACTGCAGAGAGGTGCCCTGGGGGCAGTATACCTACTGACCACAGGGTCCCAAAGCAGCTTTTCTCTTCTCTGGACTGAGCACTATGGAGGTGACTCTGACACTCCTGGGCACAGCCTGGCCCTCAGAGAGGGACATCTGGTGGCCAGTGGGCATGGGGAGTGGGCAGCACCTGGGCACAGAGGTACCCCATGAACACCCCATCTCCTTGGCAGTGCATGCCTCTGTGCTGAAGCCAGATTAGGGCCCCCTAGGAGCCATCACCCAGGGAGAGCCAGACCACCAGGGATGAGAGCTAAGGATCATGGCTGGGGGTCATGGCTGGGGAAGGGGATGGGTCGCACCCCAGAGGGGTGAGGTCCACATGAACAGGCTCAGTACACCCAGCTGACAGGCACCCACTGGGGCTCTGTCCGCAGCTTCTCCATGGCAGCCTGGAGCTCACGAAAGGTCCTCTCCAGGTTGGTGTTGACCAGGCTGAGGTCGAAGTAGTGCCCGTAGCCTCTCTGGATGCGGCTGCTCTCTTCCACTGTCCTCCTCAGGTCTGCCTCCTGCTGGCACAAGGGGACCTCGTGGCCATCAGTGTCCCCCAGTCACCCCCATCATCACGGGGAATCTACAGCATCCCCCATCTATCCCCCTGCCCAGAGCCCAGCCATATCAGGTACAGACTCCCTGGCTAGGGAGGCAGGAGCCATCGCACGTCTCCGGGCGGCTCTCCTGCAACCAGGGACAGACAGATGGGTGAAAAGAAGGAAGGAAGGAAGGAAGGAAATAACCTTTAGTCAGTGCCGAGCATGGCACTAACTGCTTTGCAACCCACGTGATCTTCACGATTGCTCTGCTAGGCAAGACTAATGATTCCCCATTTCCAGCAGAGAAAATTGAGGTTCAAAGAGGTCACCCAGCCAGCCAGTGGCTGCAGAGGGTCTGTCTGACCCCAAGGTCAGTGCTCCCTCCAGTGTGACCAGGCGCCTGAGATGCACCTCCCAAGCACGCCCCCACTAAGGCAATCCACGGGTGCCCCAGGCCACCGCTACCCCACACCTAATCAAAGCTGGCCAGCTGGCTGAGCAGGGGTAGGAAGGACACTTTGAATGCTGACTTAAATGAGCAGAGGTGGAAGCTCTAGGGCTGGCCCAGCTTTGTCCCAGTGGCCCCAGTTGGCTATGTTTGTGGCCAGGGGACTTAAGAGGGGAGCCCAGCCCAGACAGCCTCTGACCAGGGGCCTGAGGACTGCAGTACCAGGCATGGCCAGCAGATGGACCCCTGAGCTCAGAGTTCTGCAAACCGTACATCCGGAGAAGGCGGCTCCAAGGGGTACCTGGGGGGGAGGTAGGCGCCCTGGTGTCCTGTAACCAGTGACTTGAAGCTTCTCCTCCCAGCCTCCCCCCTGATGCTAACTCATCCCTCCAGCCATCCTTCCAGGCTCCAGCCCCCTCCTTCCCTTCAGCTTTTCCCTCCAGCTGTAAATGCCTGGCCCACTTCTGCCCAGAGATCGCCCACCGGCCCTCCGGGCTCCCTTAAGCACTCTGTCCCCCCACAGTGGACGGAGTGGCAGGCCTTTCAAAACCTCCTGCACCCCAGGCTAGCTGTATCCCTGACTCTATGAGACTCTGGGCACTTTACTTCCTTGCTCAGATCTCCGTTTCCAAACCGATAAAGTGGGAGTCAGGAGTCCAACCTCACCGATACCTTGGGTGGTGCCCTCTCTCCCTTCCCCAATGCCACCTTCTTCTCCTCATCAGCTCCAGCCTACCTTCTCCCCGGGCAGCCATCAGACCCCTCCCACCGCACCTCAGAGTCCTCACCGTAAGCTGCTTGGTGGACAGCCCACTCTCCAATGCAGCCCGGTTCATGGCCCGGAGGGTCTCGTAGTCAGGGGCCTCGATGAACACCACATAAGGGACAAACTCAGCTGTTCTCAGCACTTTCACTGCCTGCGGGAGCCGAAGAAGGGGATGGGGGAGTATATCGCCACGGACATCCTGGAAGGGGGAGGAGGGATAGCTGGGGGCTACCTGGGAGGGTGGGGAAATGGAACCTGGGGACGAATGGGAGAGGAACAGCTGGCAGGTGGCCGGGACTGGGAAACTGGAAGAGGCTAGAGAAGGAGGGGGCCTGGGAGGGCGAGAAAGAGATTCCAGGTGGGTTGGGTCCCTAGCAGTAGTTGGGGGATATATGAGGGTGCTTGGGATACCAGTGCCTGGAAGCATATGGGGAGTGCTGGGGGTGGGCCAGCAGAGTACCCAGCGGGGATCTCAGACCGGCTGGGACTTTACCTGGGGGTTGACATCCAGCACGCACACTTTGCCGGCGGCGACCACGCCCCGGATGGAGTCGATGCGCGTGCCATACAGGTTGCCCTCGTACTCGCCATGTTCCAGGTAGCGCCCAGCGCGGATGTCCGCCTCCATCTCCCCACGGGACACAAAGCTGTAGCCCTGACCTTCCCGTTCGGAGTCCTTGGGCCGCCGGGACGTGTCTGGGGGGAAGGAGGGGCTGAGTGAGCACAAGCAGGCTGTACCATCTCAGACGCGCACGGTCGTGCAGCCTGGGAGGGGCGGCCTCCTTCCGCCTTCAAAACGCTGCCGCCTCCCCCACACCCGCACCCTCACCCTCACCCCTGCCACACACGCATTCGAGACTCCCACATTGACAGGACCTTCAGAGTTCACTGCGCCAACCTAGTGCTCACAGATGGGGGGCTGAGGCCCAGAGGGGGCGATGTGCACCCCAAAGCCACACGCCAAGGTCAAGGAGATCTGGGGCCAGCACTCAGGTTCCCGCCTCCAGGAACCCGGGGCTCTCACCACCCCAGCTGGTTCTGTCACCAAGAAGCCCCGTCTTCCACAAGGCCACACGCAGCCCTGTTTCACAGGGGTTCCCAGCAGGGCTTCTCGTAAGTGAAACTTGAGAGGAGGAAAGGCGAGGCCTTCCCGCAGCCCACCCAGGCCACCCAGGTTCAAAGGACAGCTTCCCCACCCCTCTCCAGCCTGCAGTTCCCTCTACCACCTACAGAGGGCGCACTCCCCCCACGCCTCACTCAAAAGTACCCCTTGACTTGGGAGTCCATGCAGATGCCTGCTCAGTGGACCCAGCCCCAGCCCCTGCTCCCAGTCCCCTGCCCACCAAGGCCCGGCTCCCACTCACAGGGCACGGTGGTGCCATAGCGATCTGGATCCCACATGATGAGTTTGTTCTTCAGGCTGCGCCGGCCCACACCCTGGGCTCCGATGAGCACCAGGGTTTTCCGGCGGAAGGGGGGCATGCGGGCCACCTCCTCATAAATGAGCAGCTCATGCCGGTCAAACTCTGAACACAGGAGATGGCGCCCATCAGGCTAAGCGGGAGGCGTGGGTGGGGCCGGACCTCAGGGAGGCCAAGGATAAGAAGGCTGCTGCGGTGGGTGGGGGGAGGGTAGCAGAGAGAGACTGGG